GAAGAGTGGGCATGCCGATAACTCAGTGTTTTTTATCCTTCCCAGACAAGTTTGGTACCAGTTAACCAACCCCGGAGGGATGGAAGGCTTGGTTGATCCGAACGACGCACGATCCAGGATTCGTATACCCAGACCGCACGTGTGGTAAGCAGCATCACTTGCCACTAACTTCCGCCTTTATCCTTCAAAAGTGTCGGCGCTTAGACAAAAGGTTCTTTATATTATCCAGGGATGAAAGAAGTGCGAGACGCATCAACACAACAACTTTTTTCACAGTATCTTATATCAGCTGCCGGAACAAAGTCATTGCTGCTGATCGGAAGTGACTGCTCTATGTTATCCATATGCAAAGGACCACAGGCTGGACCAACCAGAAAATTCTGAAAAGTTAACAAGATCAGCAAAGCGTTATAACTATCCTCCTGTGGGGTGATAGCGGATAAACCGCCTTTGTCACCCTAGCTCCAACATTGAAGCTATCAAGGACTGCTGTGATCAATGGTCCAATGCAGGTGGGGAAACAACAAAAACCATTCCTGCAACTCAAAAAGGGTGCCCGAAAGATATTTACGGCAACTTCTGGTGAGTCGCAAACCGATCAAAGCCAAAAGGCAAAATTTGCTTTTTTCACATCTCCTTGTCGTGCTCTATCATGCATTATCAGAATGGTTCGATAAGCTTCCATACGTTTCAGAGACGTGCAACCCCAGATTCTGGAGCTTAGTTGAGGAGCCCTACCACAACTGACCGTGAAAAGCTCACCAGCCTGCTTCCGACTGGTACCAATTTTTGTAGATCATCAGCTACTTTGCGTAGAAAAAGTACGCACTGCGACGAAGGTAGATCCTCGATGTCAACCTCACTATGCCTCTCCTCAACTCGAATCCGAACGACACTTTTGAAAAGACACTTCACTTATTCTGTGTCTGAATCGTTTGGCAACAAGTCAGTGATTGTGGTTCATCTACACTGCTGATAGATGTTGCTTTTCGTTGACGTTAACCACAAAATATTCAAAAGAGTTACAGTTAGGGACACCTCTTAAAAATCGTTACTACGAGCGATTGAGTCGCACAAATAATCGAGACGCACCAGCGAAGGATGCTTCAGTTGCGGGTGTTAAAGCTGCGAAAAAAACAGCGCTACAGAACAAATTCTTTCTTTCTGATTTTTTCCCGATGCTGGCCTATCAAAGGCGCAACCTAGAGAAGAGTGTTGTGTTTGATGGTTGCTCTGGAACACAACGTTCCCTTGATGTTTGTAAGGATAGAAACTTCCTGAAGGACCAATTACAGATGCTGCCATCTGCCGTGCATGGGAATCACACCACAAGAGCTTTGCAGGCTGCAATCTTGCTTTTCTTCCTTTACCGAGCTGCTGTCTGCTTCTCTTCAACCTGTTGCGCTCTCTCGCCTCATACTCTCCTCTCCGCGTTTAGTCTCTCATTGTGTTAGCACGCCCGATTACGAAGGTGAGAAGGCACTTAACCTAAGCGTCGGCGTTTTTTTTTCTTTTTTTTTTCACTGCCGCCCATATCACACCGGTACATTCGTATTCGTGTGCAAAACCACACCAGTTCTGTCCTAGGGCATGCCTTCAAATTGATGGTTACGGCTAGCAAGGTTATCTGCATATACATCAGGAATGTCAGAGGTAAAGGTAGGTCTAGCAGAGGAATTCAGCAGAATTTGACAAGATCTGAAGAGGAAAAACTCACACAAGAGCCTGTTTCTCTGCATTCCTCTCATACATTCATTTAATAATCTGTAAAGCGACGCCCTATTGTAAGTGCCGGGTGGCTTGCAACTTTTTTATTCATGACAATTCACTTGGCATCTGAGGTTTTTCGAGTCGACTAACGCACATCAAGGCTGCTGTAGGAGGTGCCTCCAAAGTGAGTCAGTCTTATAATGGGGAAAACATTTTCACGCGTTTAGCTGCCATTGTTCCATTGAACAGAACCGGCCCTGAATTTTGCCTTTTCCCACACGAGAATCATTGTCCGCTTGTCATCGACTGTTCAAAAATAAAACGAAAACGAACACTGTGTAATAGGAATGTATCAATTCGGGCCTGTCATCGTGCAATCTGGCAAAAACCGTGACTGAGATATCAGCCACGACGCCGAAATGAACAAGTTGTCTCTCACGCATACGTAGGTTACAGATTCTCATTACATTGCATAGCAAAACTGGAAAAAGTGTGGATTACATTGCAAAGACGCATCTCAATGCCCGTCTAGAATGTAAGTCGAATGTGTGGCGCGTCCTAAAAAGGGATTGGTAACGTAGAAACATCTAGTGTTCTCCCTCAATAGTTTCCAAACCTTATGTAAATGCGAGAACTATCAGAATGAGCGGATTTTGTTCACAAAAGAATGCGTTCGAGAGAAGCGGCCAGGATTGATAACTTTCTTGGGAGATGAGCCACACAACCTACAACGTATGTTCTATTTACAAAAACTAGAAGCGCGTCGAGTGCAGAGCTCACGCCACAAGTGACGACGGCCTCGATTCATAGTAATAGCTGGTAGTTGGTAAGTTAGAGTTGCAAGTAATGACAACTGATAGAATCAAAAGACTAATCACTTCATTGGCAGAAAACGTCCACATTTTCGTCAATGTCGGCACTTGTGGTGCGTGGTCTGTACTTGACGCGCTTCTTGTTTCCTGAAACAGAGAGTGGTTTTGTTCAGGAAAGAA